TGTTATGTGTTGGAATGTTGCTCAAAATGAATATGTTCATTTCGGGCATAGTTGCGAATCAACAGGCGTTCGATTTTTGAAAGTTTTATGCGTGTTCAATAGAACGCCTGTTAGCATGTCAGTTTAGAGCATGTGTTGTACAACCGTTACATTCCCAATAGTTCATTTTTTTTAATTGTTTTTTTTTTATTTTTATTTTTTTTATTTTGTTTTCAGGGCCCGAGGAATGTACTGCGTTAGTTTTGAACACAACGAAGATTGTCCATTCGACTGAATTCTAAAAGAATCATATTTTGCATGTCTACTTATTAGCCGGTGCAAAGTGCAGGGAATTTTATATAGGTACACAAATCCAAAGTCGTTTGTTATTGTTTAAACTTTAAGTAATTTATTGTTAATTAGGGAAATAATATAAGAGGTTTTTATAAAGTTGCTAATGTTTTATTTCAATAGTAAAGTGTTACAAAGAAACCATCGAAAGTTCCAATCTTTAATTTGGTCTTCCGTGGAAAATAATGATGAGTCTAATGAAAGAGAAATAATACCTAATACCTTGCTGCTTATATACCACAGTATACAATAAGCTACTCATAATAATTCTTAACTTTTAGTTTCTTTCTTCGGAGACATGGTAACTTGTATATTGGCGCAAGAGAAATTACAAGCGTCATTGTAGAATAAAGATTTGAAAGTCCAGTTGCCAAACACAAATGTGCCACCGAAGTATGACTCAGCAATCCCTAGGATGTCAACTTGGAACTTGTAGTGTCCCTGCAAAAGTCACAGGTGAATTTCAATGTAGGTTTGCTGGAACGTAGCACATCTGCGGAATGTCTGGTTTGAGGTGAATACTTTTTATTCGGTTATAAAAAATCAAACTACAATAGAAGCCGAACAACGGGTGAAAGGAGCTAGTTTAGTTAGTGGAGCTAGTTTAGTTTAAAATTCCATAACATGTGTGTGATACCACGGCCATATAGAAAACCGACGTGAAACAACGTTTGCACACAACAACAAACACAATGTTCGTAATGTGACTGAGGTAACTGGGGGCCCAATTATCCTCAAAATCCTAATTCTTAGTCAAAAGTTTCCTAGTCAAAAGTTCAGTAAACACTTGAAACGGCTCTGGTGTTTCGAGTGTCTACCGAACTTTTACTAGTCTGCTAGTTTATCGGCTTATTCTACAAAAAAAGTTATTATGGTAAGTGGTAAAGTTTTACTAAAAGGCTCCTGTGTTTCACGTCTCTGCTTTATTTGGAGATACCCTTGGAATTATTTGAGTGTTTCGAAAATTATATGGCACGTAAACTTATGTTACTTACAAATTGCTAAAATTTAATACTCACTTTCACAATGTAGCAATCCTTAGTAACGTTCATGAGGGAACTGAAGAGAGGCCTCAAAAAGAGATGCTCGCATGGTTTTTTTACTTGTAATCTAAGGAATTCTTTGCCATTGGTTACTGCTACAATTTTTCCCTAAAATTAAAAATAAGTATGGAGGATTAGTATAAAGAAATAGACTTTACTAGTTCTTCAAAATCAAGGTAAAATTATTTATTTGAGATTATTCTGGTCCTTTGTCGTAGGTGGTCCTTTAGATCGAAAGTCGATGAATTGTGTATGCTGCATTCGTTTCTTTGTTATCATTCTGTGAAGTGAATAAATTTGTAGAAGAAGATGAAATCTTTTCTCTACAACATTCTTAATATTTTTCTGAATTCCTCTGGTTTTAAAACTCGTTAGGATAAAATCTTTACCTTTGTAGGCGACACATTTTGTAGAACTTCAATTTCGTATATTATTGAAGTAGATGTATTGCTGATAAAGGCCGATGAATATGCACAATCCTTTTGCTTTGGCCCTTTGCAAATGTCAAACTGTGTTATCAACAAATTGAAAGTACCCTGGAAGACAAAATACGGATCACATTAGTATATAGGAAACATGAGTCCGCTAGAAACTTGGTCCTTTGTCGTTTATAAAGATTTTCAAAAATTCCACGAAGATATAGGTACATTGACTTACATAATCTTTTTGTGCACCTGATGACACTTGAACATTATACGCCGTGATCAGGATAAGTAATTGTATAAACATCTTGCACTTAAAGAGACTTCAAGCAAGTTTAGTGTGGTACAACTAAGTCAAATTTTACGAATATAGTTAGGTATAGGTATGTCATTACGGTTCATTTTTGTTTAACCGTTTAAAACCCTATTAAATGGTTCGTTGGAGAGTATAATTTTTATATGATTGCTATAAATTATTGGAAACTGAGCATTTAGTTTATACAATGCTTGTTAGTCGAACTATATGATGGATATGATCTAGTAAATTATGGAGATAAGAATTTTTTCTATTTCCTGAACGGTATATAGCTTCTAGAAAGTTTTAAGTGGGCAACATGACTAATACTTAATACTATGGTATGAACACTATATGATGTATACAGATAGGCAGGTTTTGATTCCAGGATTTAACTAAAATGTTTGTATTTAATGTCTACTGCATGGAACAGTTGGGACACTTCACTGCTACATTATGGGATACAGAGGTATCCCATGTTTAGACTATGTAGCCTGGAGATGAATGATCATAACAAATGAATTTATCAAAATCTTTACGCTAAGCAAGAGAGCTGGGCATCGAAATTTATAACAGAGCGTTGCGGTCTCTTACCTTCGTCTAATGTGAAGTCCGTTAGACAAAAGTATGTAGCGGCAAATGTATAATATTTTGCATTATAAAAATTATGTTATTGGACTATCTGAATTATTTATTAATTTATCAGGCGATTCAACTGCCCGTTTTGCGGCCCACATCATAAAAAAACTTTGTTTATTGAGTGGTACCAACTGCTGCCGATGCCGAGCAAACGGCTCAAATATAGCATTACTTTATTCTGTTTTTCGAAAATGTCTTAGTATTTAATAGTACCGAAAATAGAATTTTTCGAGGCAATAGACTCACACCCTTTTACATACAACTGGTGAAAAATGCGCATTAAAATGTTTATGATCATCTCTGTCTATCTCTTCGGCGATGATAAGCGTATATGTTATGTATAAATAAAAACAATAGGATTAGTGGATTAAGTTTAATTTATTAATCAACATGACTTTTTGTTGGAGTCAGCGAGAGGTTGAGCAAACCGCAATGCATGTTGCAGACGTCACTGTAGAAATTCCATTGAAATGTCCAATTCCCATACATGAACTTACTGCCATAAAAACTGCGGGCTACCTTCTGGATATCTAGAGTAAATTGGTAGTGTCCCTGCAAAAAGAAAAACTCTAATGACTATTGTGATAATTCAATGATGGCTTTTCTATGGTATTTTTTTTAAGGAGGGAAAATCATCGAATTACTGCTCCCGTCTGGGTGAGGCGAGAGGGAGTGTCAGACTCTTACTGACTAAAAACTACCCTGTTCCTACTCGTGCCCTTCGAGCCGGAGCCCCGGTTACCCGTTAGGTTCTCCAGTGTAGGGCGGTAAACGAGCAGGTTTAGCGTCTGATGGTATGCAATAAACGTCGCCGCTGGTCACATCCAAACACCAGAGGATTTATAAGTGCGTTGCGGGCCTTTTGGGTGTTAGGGATTTCGGGATTGGGTAGGGGGGGGGGAATTTCACTCAAAGAGAAAGAGCAATGCATAACGTAAGCGTTGTATCACGCCAGTTTTCTGTAAGGCAGTGATATCACTCCGGACCAACAGGTCCTATCGCGTGCTGGTTGAATAGTCATAAGTTGGCTGCCCAATACAGCCCCAGGTTTCATTTTGAGTTAAAATATGGAGTTTTTTATTTTCATAAAAGGTTAATAATAGCCTGGAATCCTGATTGGTGTGTACTATAAGGCAATAAAAGGGCTCTTATTACATGGATCTTAATACAGAACTGTCGAAAGGCTAGTGTTATATTTAATGTTCACTTCTGCCTACTTAAAGGTACTGTTACCTGGATGTTACCTGGTTTGACAAAATTAATCACGTGTAGTCAAATTTGGTCCTTTCACCGCAAATAGCACCAATTTTCCAGGACTATAAAAGTAAGGAACAGTTTCACAATCTTTACCTTATTAATTGCGCAACGGTCAGGGGTATTCAAAGCAGTCATGATTAAGGTTCTGAGAAAAATATGTTCACATAGGTCTTTGATCGGAATTCGTAATAAGGGATTGTTGTTCACCAATCCTATGATTTTTCCCTGGAAAAAAGTGTAATAATATTAGCTAGCTGCATCCGCAACTTCGTCCACGTTTTTCTAAAATAAAAATTGCCTGAGGTAGTCTTTACTAGCTTAAAAAGGCAGCCAATAAAACTCCCGTCAAAATAGGTCCAGCCATTTCAGAGATTAGCCAGTACAAAGAGACAAACAAAATTTTTAAAGACTATGACATGAATTTAATTTTGTAATTATGTAATTTACAATGGTGACTATAATTAGGAATGTTAATACATTGCACGCTTGCTCGCAGGCAGAATACAATGACTTTTAGACTGAAATATCTTCCATTTTAAAATATGTATTCTTGCAAATTAATGAATTTGAATTTGTTATTTTGATATGCGTATTGTAATTATATATTAATATGTTTGCCCTAAAAAGCGGTTATTTCAATATTACAAACTGGCACACCAATTCTATTTATCTGTAGTACGATAGAATATGGCACTTACGACTTTATACCAGTAATAAAACAATACCTTAACTGCCTTCATTGTTTGTGTTATATTATATTCTAAAGCCAAGGTGACATCACTGAGAATTTTCACTGCCGATCCAACACAGGTCCTTCGTTTGGGTCCATTGCACTCTTCATATTTTGTCAGTTTCAAGTCAAATTCGCCCTGCAAGAAACTATAGGTACACTTACACTGTTTTGTAATACTTAGATGTACAATTACAAAATGCTTAAGTACCTATTATTAACATAACATAACATCACGCCTTTTATCCCCGAGCCACTGTACAATTTAACACCCACTTTTCACTATTTATGTTATGAGTCCCATGTAATAGGGGGTGAGCCTATTGCCATATAGCATGTACAATTCCGGACTCCGTGCTGCTACTGAGATTTTTTTTAAAACCCAGTGAAACTTCGCCCGACCCGGGAATCGAACCCGAGACCCCTTGCCCGGCAGTAGCACTTGCGACCACTTAGACAACGAGGCGGTCCTCCCAACCTATTTATTTGAAATATATTCAAGTAAAGTGTTATTGCATAATCACTCATAATCACTTATGTAAATCTTAGTAATAACTTTTGGGACATATTTTAGACAGACCCAAACTTCTTGGAACTGCTATTTTTGGTTATAAGTTCCTTAGACTACTCGATCGAGCAATGATACAATGAAATGTTATAACATAAGTAGGTACTATATCACTTACGAATTCCAATGATGATTTAGAAGCAATAAAAGAAAAACAAAATGACATAAGCACTAGATATTTTAACATAACGTCGACTATTAGTTTTTCAATTAAATGGATTTTTATTGCACGGAACGATTTTAGTTCGAGCTGTCATTTAAAATTGTGAATTGTTTAAAATATAGCACGGTCTGTTGGTTCGCAATGATTAAGCGCCAATGAGCTTCCTAGATTTAGTTCCAACTGAGAGTAGTCTGGTTTAGGTTTTTGTCTAAATTACGTAATATCTAGCTTGTTCTTCATTGACGGTTTAGAAGGATGTTTTTGTCAGTTATGATATATGGTTAAAAAATAGGATGAGGCTATAAAGAACATTGTTTTTTTTTTTTTAAGGGGGCAAAATCATCGAATGACTGCTCCCGCCTTGGTGAGGCGGGAGGGAGTGTCTGACTCTTACTGACTAAAACCACCCCGTGCCTTCTCCTGCACGTCGAGCCGGAGCCCCGGTTACCCGTTAGGTTCTCAAAGAACATTGGTTTAAGATGGTATCATGGTGTAAGTTTAATAGCATGTATTTTTTTATGGCATAAGCCGGTAAACGAGCAGTTGCATCACCTGATGGTAAGCAATCGGCATCGGTCATGGACACCTGGAACACTAGAGGCGTTACAAGTTACCGGTCTTTTGAGGATTAGGAGTTTGAGGATGGTTGGGGATTCAGGAGTTGGGGAGATTGGAGAAGGGGAGGGTAATTTGATAAAAAATTACTTTTACAAACTCTTTCAATGCATTTTGTGAACAACTCATACCTAAAGTTACTACGCCTTCGACTCATTGTATAGTTTCTTTAAAGACTTAGGTACTTAGTAGTAAAATAAAATACATTTGATAAAATTACAATTTATTTAAGACTAACGTTGAAACTGGCAAAAATGTTTAAGGCCATGTACGGTAAACGCAGCGCAGAACGTCCACCAATAAGGTAGATTTACAACCTGAAACGTCGTAGGAAGCTACTGGATGCAGGCCGTTTCTATCCAGCCAAGGTCTTTGGAATAATTCTATGTTCAGTTGTTTAGTTGTGTGAAGTCTTATGGCTGATTTGTTGTTAATTTAAAACAACGCTTCAATCTTGTTCTTAGGTGTTACAGCTAGCTTCATAATGCCACAATGTAAGTTGCATTTGTCGTTGAAAAATGAGACTTTGTAACTCCAATTCCCATACATGAATTTGCCGCCATAAAGATTTCGGGTTGTCGCTCGAACGTCTACGCGGAATGCATGGTGTCCCTAAAAACAGATTTCGAAACAACATAACATAACATCATGCCTTTTATCCCCGAAGGGGTAGACAGAGGTGCACATTATAACACAGTACAATATAACACCCACTTTTCACTATTTATGTAATGAGTCCCATGTAATATGGGGTGAGCCTATTGCCATATACCGGGTACAATTCCAGACTCCGTGCTATTACTGAGATTTTTTTAAAAACCCAGTAATACTTTGCCCGTCCCGGGAATCGACCCGAGACCCCTTGCCCGGAAGTTGCACTTGCGACCACTCGGCCAACGAGGCAGTCAATTTCGTTAGATTTCGAATATTTTTAATTTTAGAACTAACTTTGAGATGTGCACAAGTCAGTAGGTATGCATTATTGGGATTTCAGCCAGGCCTTCTTGAGCGAAAGTCTGGACCAAGCTTGAGCATTAACGTCAACAGCCCTTAAAAATGTTGTTCTTTATGAGAGGCCACAGGTCAAGCATTACTAAAGGCAGTTGTACTCAGTTTCTGTATCCAGCATTTTTATACTCTTAAGATTTATATTTCACTTACTTTGAACACACCGCAGCTGTCTGTCAAGTTGAAAGCAGCCAATATCAGAGGCTTGAAGAAAATGTGTGTACACATGTCGTTTACCCGAAATCTAATCAACTCCTTGTTGTTTAAAGAACCGACAAATAGAGCCTGAAAATATAAAATGGCTACAGTAATTTTTCATTCGGTTTTAAAAACTTGTTTACATTTGTTGTTGTTGTTCTCTTGTTATCTGCTGTAGAATTATCTGAGGCATATAAAGTCTGAACTAAAATGTTATTTCAGTATATATACCGGATACATTTCGGTGAGTGTGCGGGGGAATTTCACAACTTGATTCCCCCTAGTCCTTTCCATCATCGTACCACAAGATAATCGGCGAAGCGTCACCGATTCATGGTAGATGTTCCGTCCACACACACGAAGCGCTTCGCTTCAAGCTTCCTTGTGCGTAGGTACTGCTAAAGAGTGAAATTCTTTGCCAGAGTCTGTATTTCCTGTACGTCGTGTACGTACCTGGGAATCGTCAAGGCCCGAGTGAATAGATTGCTTATGGGACGACGTGCTCTATCGTAGACCGCATCATCGCTTACCACCAGGCGATATAGTGGTCAAAAGTCGCCCCATCAAATAAAAAAAAATATATTGTTTTTTTTTATAGGATAAGCCGATAAACGAATAGAAGGATTACTTGATGGCAATCGGCGCCGCCCATGGACATGTGAAACACCGGAGGGGTTATAAGGGCGTTACCGGCCTTTTGGGAATTGGGAATTTGAGGATTGTAGGGGATTCGGAGATTGGGGAACAATCTCCCCAATCATCCCAATACCGGAGGCCGCCGGTAACTTCACTCACACGCCGAAACTCAACGCAAGCGTTGTTTCACGTTGGTTTTCTGTAAGGTCGTGGTATCGCTCCGTTCGAGCTGGCCCATTCGTGCTGAACCATGGCTCTCCCACACTGATTTGATAATCAATATATTATATTGGTAGGATTAATTTACTAATCTATATCAATATAGAAGAAAACAGTGTAAGTATCAGTTGTACCTACATATGGAAACAGTGAGTGCAAATGCGAGAATCATATATCTTCCTATTCGGATTAAATATAGTGTTGTGTATCTCGATACGTAGGTCATGTTTGAACTTTCCACCTTCTTCGTGGTTCATGATACAATAGGTGGTCTATTCAATAAACTTCTAAAAAAAGAGTTTCATACTCACTTTGATTGCAGTCATATTTTCTTTAGTAGTGACGTCATATTTTATCCAGATGTTGTCGTAAGTATACGCCGTGACGTCACAGCAGTTTATTTTTTTAGGTGCCTTACATACTTCGTAGCTTACCACTCTTAAATCGAATTCTCCCTGAAATTAAACGTAGATTTATACAAATTCTTTTGTGTTATGTCATCTGCTATTTTATTCTATAGGCATGATTTCTAAATCTTTTGATTAGATAAATCTATTGAGTTATGATTTTCGACAGTTATAATGGAAGCCCTGTATGTTTTTACCTACCTACTCTGTATGTTTTTCCTGCAGGTAAATAAAAACGGCTATTGTATTGTATTCTACCTCTTATAATAAAAGAAAATAGAAAAATTACTTACATATTTTACCTCAGAAGTTGTAACGAGTAAAGCAATAGAAATAAAAATAACAGAAGTACTATATTTTGCCATAGTGTTCGATTCAATATAATTACGTTACGCACTACAAAATAGTATACAGTTTAATCTTCATCTATTGAATTGAACACTAATATGAATTTGTTTGTATTTGTATTTCATGGTTGGTTGGCTTAAAATTGTTTATAAATAGCTATTAAAAGATAAAAGATAGGCGCAGAGGGATAATTGTCGACTGTTTGGCATTGAAAAGGTTTTATACTCAAGTGGATGAAGGGCATAAATTTAAATGCTTGCAACCAGGCCTGTCCAAACAAAGGCCCGTGTTTTCAAGTGGCCCGCTACACACGTTTTAATCTCAACATCTTCATCAACAACGATAATAATAATTCAGTGTATGATTTGTATAGAATACAATGTTAAACGTCATTACACAACGTGAAAATATTTGATCGGCCCTCTAGCTTTTGTTAGAAATTTAATTAGCCCGCGAGGGTATATAGTTTGGACAGCCCTGGCTTAAACCATTGAACTTTTTGAGTAAAATTTGGTACAACGGTAGTTTAAGACCTAGGAAACGAATTATGATAGTTTTTATCCCGAAAATCCCGGGGAAAATCCCAGGCAACGGAGATATGCGTTCGGCACTCTATATTTTTTAAATCACTGTACCTATTTCTGCTTGAAATTCGGTACAAAATTAGTTTGCAACCCGGGAAAGGAGATAGAATAGTTTTAATCACGGGTTAAAAAAAGATTGTTCTAAAAAATGTTTAGCTATGATTGTCTGGTAGATGTTACAGGTTAGGTTTAAGATAAAAATGGTTTTGTAAATATTACTCGAATCAAAATATTACTGGGTTGTAAAATAAATTCTCAGTAGTAGCACGGAGTCTGGAATTTTGCCCTATATATGGCAATAGGCTCACTCGGTATTAAATGGGACTCATAATATAGTAAAAAGTGGGTGTTACATTGTACAGTGGCAATAAGTGCCGTAATGTGCACCTCTGTTTTC